GGGGGGGTTCGTGGTGGTGGAACAAGGCAGGTGTGGCCTCTGCAAATCAGAGGTGGGTCCAGTCTGTTTTTGTCTTTTCATACCCACCCCATCCCCCCCTTTTTTTACTTTCTTTTTGAAAACATCACACGTCCCGGGGCGCCAGGTCTACAAAAAGAGTGCATGTTTGGGGGTGGGGGGGACACTGGCGTTTAAAGGTGGGGGGTTGGTGGCACTCGGGTGGGGCGCCAAGTTAACAAGATGGAGGGCATTCGGAGCCTCTTGCCCAGTCGTGAGGGCCTTGTTAAGAGGGTTTTGTTAGCCCTGTTGTGTGAAACGATGTGGGGGGGGTTATTCAGCTAACAACACAATTGTTGGGGGTGGGGGGGTCCTAGGGACAATAATACTGAGGCAATTAAGCTTTCTGTGGCTTCATTGGGAGAAAGGGGGAGAGAGTTGGAGGGAGATGGGGCGTCCCGTTGGTCGTCTCATACTTTGTAGTAAATGTTGGCCGGACTCTGAGGCGGCATCTCCTGGACGATGTAGACGGGGTGCCCGTAGTCCCCGCTCACCTTCTCGTAGTGCGGGCAGTAGGCCGAGTCCGACGTCCGCAGGGGGATGATGATGTCGCTGGGCTCGGAGCCGTTGTTGTTGGAGCTGGATATGCCGCCGCCGCCGCCCCGCTTGGGGCTGGTGAGGGAGGAGAGCGACAGCGGGGGGTGGTGGGTGTCCGAGTGCTTGGCGTGCCGCCGCCGGTAGCACACGACGCAGATGACGGCGGTGACCAGCAGGAGGAAGGCCGACCCCCCCGCCGCCCCGGCGATCAGGGCGATGTTCGACGGCTGCAGCGGCCCGTTCTCGTCGCCGCCCTCGTCCCCGAAAGGCGCTCGGGGCTGGGTGGAGTTTCCACCTGGAACAAACCAGAGAGCAACGTTAAAAACTAAGAACGCCCCCCACTTTTCATGATAGAGCTTTAATTCAAGACGTCATTCTACAGCTCGGTCTGTGTTGAGGATCACTCTCAGCTACTACCGCAACACATTTAACATTGACCTCTGTTTTCAGGAAGTTATACCCATATTTGTATTAGCTGTGGCGGCCATTTTTATTTGGGTCAAATTAAAATGTTGGTTGTAGACGAACGTTTACTGTTTACTTTCAGTAAAAATCCATGAGAGATTTTGCTGACAGAAAAAGTTGACTTCAATAGGTTAGAGCTCAGAGAGCAAGGTGGGTAAAGAGTCTCAGCAACTACCACAGTAAAGTTTAGTAAATAAAGTACTTAATAAAGTTTATTATGCTGCACTTTTCACATACAAAACAAACATGAAGTACTTTTATTACACTTACAAAAATCCTGCAAAAACAGTGTGAATGATGATAGGTTGTAGCTGAAAACTGCTGAAGACACTTGCCATCAACAGCCGGTTTGTGTTAGCTTTGTCAGCTATTTTGACATGCTAATTAGCATTCGGCATGTGGTGGGGATCACTTTCAGCTACAACTAACAGTTACACTTTCAGCTAAAATTAGCTCATTATTAAAATTGATTCAGCTGTAGGTGAAAACAGAACTGAGTAAAAAAGATGAAATTAGTAGAGAAGTAGATGAAAACCAGGCCAAACGTAGCTAAACAGCGCTAAAAGTAGCAGAAACAGGTTCACATAAAAAACAGACGGAGAGAGAAAATTTTCTAATTAGGATTTTTTTTAATGTACAAAAAAGTGGAATTTGTTTTGTAAAAGCTCAAAAGCCTAAAAATAGCTGAAATAGTTGAAATTAGCACAAAGAAGCATGTTTGCTGAATTAAGCAGTAAGAAGTTAAGATTACAAAAAGGTGTATTTAACTTAAAAAAACACAAATTAGATGAAAATTTCTATTGAAATAGCTAAAAACAGAAAACTGTTGAAAGAATGACAAATGTTTAAAGTAGAGGAATAGAAGAAAATAAGCAAAAACATCAGCAAAAAACGAGCCAAAGGAGCTGAAATTACCACGAAATTTAAGAGGAGAAAAAGCAGAAGAAAAGGTAAAAAGTACCGTAAAGATTTATTAACGTTTTGAAGGGTTTTAAGGACGCTTATGACGACTGAATTCATTTTCAATTTGAAAAAGTCAGAAAAAAAAGCTAAATATCTCAAAATAAGTTGCTGAAATTCATAAAGTCAAAGCTGTCCTGAAGGAACTAAATGTTTTGATGAATAAATTGTTGATTTAACATAAAAATGTGTAATGAGACACGTATGGTGCTCAGTCTGTATGAGTTAAAAATATTTTTGTGTTGCTTTGATGTGGCGGCCATCTTGAACCAGGTTCACAGTTCTTGGTAACAACGACTCTCAGCTACTACCACAGGAAACTTTAGCTCAGTCTGTAAACCTGACCGTGTTTTAGCTGTTGTGTTCACTAACACTGGCTCAGCCTGACCCTTCAGGCGCAGACGTCGACCCAATGCTTTTCTTCGCCTCCGGCAGCGGGGGGGGATTATTACCGCAGGCCGCTCTGACCCCGACATAAAAACCGGAGCAATAAACCCAGCGAGCTCCCACACTTTGTGTTTTCACCAGCTTTGGGAGGAAAACACAGCGTTCCTCGCGGCTCTGCGGCGGCGTGGCATGAGTGACGGTTTGGCCCGATGAGTGGCGGCTGGAATGCAGCGAAGAATTGCGGCGACTCGCCCAAACGTTTATTTGTGGTCTCTTTATTGACGTGATGAAGAGGACGGAGGCGCGAATAAAAACAGCCGGGAAGTGACGGAGGGAAACTGGGTTCCCCCTAAACGTATTTATTCAGCAGAACTGCCAGCACACATGAAGGGAACCTCCTGGGTCTGGGTCCACCGGGACCACACACTCAGACCTGCTCCTGAACCTTCCTGTCTGTCTTTATGAGGGCGGAGCCAAAACGTTTGAGCTCCTGTGTCTGCACTGTTAGCAAAATATCTCATGAATGACTGAACCGATTTTAATGAAACTTTCGAACCATAACTGATCGGTTAACATCTACGCCTGACCAACTTTTGGAGTCGACCTGATTCAATATGGCCGCCATAGCTAATCAAACACAGAAAAACGGTTAAAACTCAAATTTGCAGTCAGGTTAAGATTTGGCACGGCAGTAGCTGATACTGACGGCTCACTGATCAGCGGGATCTGTGTTTTAAAATTCGGTATTAATGTTAGCCATCAGTGCTATTTGTCTGTTAGCAAAATATCTAATAAACCAATAGATACATTCTAATGAAACTCTTAGGAAATGATCTTTATAAATGTATTTACAATTCATTAACTATTAGAGTAAATCCAATTCAAGATGGCCGCCACAGCTAACTGACACCAGTGAACACAAACATGGTTATATTTCAATCAAATGTGCAGATATTCAGCTAAAATATGGCGTGGTAGTAGCAGAGAGTCAGAGAGAGCTCAGCGAATGAAAACGACCGAAACGACTTCATCGTTTCTCAATTTAAGATGATTTCGAGGAAGTCTGGGCCTTTGATTTTATTTGTCCGTCTGAAACCCAAGCCTCCATGTTGTCTCTGCGGGGGGTCGGGTCAGAGCGCAGCAGGTGAATGATGGTCTCGGGGAGCGTTGTGTGTGTGTGTGTGTGTGTGTGTGTGTG